TTATTAAAAAATTAGGGGAACACATTTCAATTGCAAAGTACAGAGTAATTTTTAGGAAAAATATCTCAAATATAAATGAACAAATTAGTCATGTTTTCAAGATAAGAATACTTTTGGAAAAAAACTTATTACAAAAATGATTTTTGCAAAAAATCTTGAAATTCATTTAAGCCAGGAGTTTAGAGGACTATTTGAGGAATATTCTTCATAAATTAATGTATATTGATGAAATAACTTATAATTGAACACTTAATAAAGGAAAATTGCTTATTATTTACTTATATTTATGAAGTCTTAACAGACAAAATAAATTATACGAAGTTAAGATGATGAATTAATAATATAAATTTTATTTGGTAATGTGAATCTACAATGACCTCTTTTAATAAGTACAAATACTTTTTTTCCCAATATATGTAATGTTTTGAAAAAAAATTAGAAAGACGTATATATAATAAAATGTTGTCATAACTTGATGTAATTTAAATTATTATTCATACAACCCCTACTTTATATCATAACTAAACATATTTTTCCCATGATTGACAATCAGAGTATTGCATAGCATGCAATAGAATGAAACTATTGTACTAATTTCATCCATGAAAAATGTCTTAAATTAAACTATTTACCAAATGAAATTATTTCTCTTAGACGTATAATTAATAAAAGTGTAAGATAAAAAATGATACTTAAATAGAGTTTATTTCCGCTATCTTTTTTTTTTTTGAAATTATTAATAAGTACTCAATTTTTTTGTACTTATAGTGGAAAATAAATCTCATTCATAAAAAAATCCGGAAAACACGAGATCAAATATAAAAGAGTAAGTAGGAAACATATCTCAAATATAATGGAATGCATTAGTCATGTTTTCATGATAAAATAACTTTTGGAAAATACCTTATTACAAAAAATGAATTTGGTACCGTCAGATCCTAGATTACCGTTTAAGTTTAAAAGAAGACAATTTCCAATATCTTTATGTTTTGGCATGACAATCAATAAGAGTCAAGGCCAAACATTATCATTTGTTGGATTATTCTTGACCAAATCGATATTCACTCACGGTCAACTTTATGTTGCAGTTTCACGAGTGAAAACTAAGAAAGGATTAAAAGTGTTGGTTTTAGATGACAATGGTAACCCATGCAATTGCACGAAAAATGTGGTTTACCCTGAAGTTTTCCAAAAAATTTGAATTTAATTGATACGTTTATATGTTCTTTTCAATTTTTTATATACATAAATTTAAGTTAGCATACTGTGTTTATGTCGTATCTAACATTCTATATTATATTTACATTTATTTTTTTATTATTTACTTAAAACAAAAAATTACCAGATTTAAAAATAACATGCGTTCGACCCCGTGCGTTGCACGGGTTAAATACTAGTGATAATAAAGTTTAATGTACACCAAGATTTGTACCCATTTATTCAAAGGAACACACATAAGCAAAAATTGTCAGAGCATCACAAATACCTATACAACTGTTTATACACGTCACACTCCTGCCTTAAAATTGGTGGAAGAGGTAAATTGCGAGATGTGTCTCAATTAGTTAGTGATAACAAATGTGAGTGTAATGGTAAGAAAAAGCAAATATAGCAAGAGATGGGGATTTGTGGAGACCATTCCTCCCCATATATCAACTTTACAATTTTTTTTACTAATTCATCCACCATTAATAGATAGAGCCATGTTAATTTGAAATCACCACAATTGATATCACGGAATGCAAGTATACTTAATTTGTACATATATAGAGAATAATATCTATAAACACATGTACCATTCGTGTGTAAATTTACCGTTCGCTTTGCCGAGTTTGCAGTAGGTTTGCAATGGATAAGGTTGAGTTTTGAAGTTTTGAATTTACGATGCATTCTCTATATGAACCGTGCTTCTTGTACCCTATTTGGTGTACACGAAATTGTAAACATAATGCTTTGTAGTTTGCACCAATATGACGAAACAGTAACAACCATGCTATATTTACACTAAGAAATATGTTCAAAGTTACATAAAATATATATACATAACATTTTGATGGTTCATACTAACATAAACTGCTGGTGCGATTAACAAAATTTGTACTAACATTTTGTGCTACATGAATCACCACCCTAAAATAAAATTGACTCAAAATGAAGGTGTACACTACACGCTTGTGATGTACAAATTAGGGTAGCTAGACATATTTTAAAAGAAATCACCATAAATAGCTTAGAAGGAATCACCAAAATAAGAGTTCATGTTTTTATTTCTTAAATAGGAGTTTGCATTGTAGTAAAATGTGGCACTGTACATAGGTATTTTTTGAAATGTACATGGTCGTGTTTGACAATGTAAATGTATTTTAACTTATATTCCGAGAATAATAATATGAAACTCCAATTTTGATAGATGTTTAAAGTTTTAGGCCCCGTTCCGTTCAACTTATTTTTTCTTATTTTTTCTTATTCTTATTAAAATCAGATCAGATCAGATCAGATCCAATCAGATCACATCAGATCAGATCAGATTCAATCAGATCAGATCAGATCCAATCAGATCAGATCCAATCAGATCAGATCAGATCCAATCAGATCAGATCAAGACTTATTAAAATCAGATCCCATCAAGAATTATTATTAATATTATTATTACACTTATTATTATTATTATTCTTATTATTATTATTATTATTATCATTATTATTATTATTATTATTATTATTATTATTATTGTTGTTGTTGTTGTTGTTGTTGTTGTTGTTCTTAAAAATGAAAAAGAATAAACTTTAGAAATAGGTTAAATAGAAAACCGAGAAAGTAATCCTTAATTATTAGACGTTGGAAAAATTATTTTTAAAATACATTGACAATGTCAATCTAATTCTACTTTTAAAATATATTTTTATTACTACTTGTAATTTGAGTTTCTAAACTTTTGATCTTTTATAAGGGTGATATATTTTAATAAAAATACTATCTCTTCTATATATTGATTATCTAAATTTAATTACTTTTTAATGTATATCTAAATTAAATATTTATTCTAATGTATAATTCTAATTTTACAAAAAAAATACTCCCTCCGTCCCCAATTTGATTACAAATTGCGGGTTACGGAGTAAAATTTCTTATTTTTTGAATTCATTTTATTTACAAATTGGTATATCAATAAGGTATAAAAATTATAGATTAAAAAACTACGCCAAAAGTTCTACGAAACAAGAGATGACAAGAATATTTTATTTTATCAAATACTTAATGAAATCGTGTAAACAAACAAAAACTATCGAGAGGGGAGAAAAAAAATTGTAATCCATTTAGGGACGGAGGGAGTAATCATAAAATAAAAAATATTATTACATTATAATATGAATGATTATTCTAATATATGAATTAACTATTTTTATTTTATTGAAAAATAATCATTAAATAAAAAAATATTGATTATATTATAATATGAATTATCATTATAATTTTCAAACGTTATTAAAAAGTCAAATTAAATTATTGATTTGAAATTTTAAATTAAACCATAATTAATCAGATCAGATCCAATCAGATCAGATTCAATTAGATCAGATCAGATCAGATCAGATCCAATCAGATCAGACCAGATCAGATCAAATCCAATCAGATCAGATCAGATCAGATGCAATCAGATCAGATCAGATCAGACCAGACAAGATCAGAACTTATTAGAATCAGATCATATCAGAAAAAATAAGTTGAACGGAACGGAGCCTTAGTCTTATTTTAGTTTTTTCCCGTAGTTTAATCTATACAATAATACTCTCTTCATCCCTAAAAGATTGCCACAATTTGACTTTTTGGTTAAACTGTGACATCCTTTGACCACAAACTTATTATTATTTAAAATAAATAAATATAAAATTTTGATATTTCATTATTATATTTTAAAATAATTCAATTTTACTAAATTTTCATCAAAACTAAATATATATTCCATATTTTTTTCATAATTCAAGTCAAATAATGTTACAATTTGATCAAAAAAATCAAATTGTATCCCTCAATGGTGATGTAACACACTACCAAAAAATTTGGATGGGTGTGTCTCGGAGCAAAAAGTACAACTTAGGCTCCGTTCCGTTCAACTTATTTTTTTTGATCTGATCTGATTCTAATAAGTTCTAATCTGATCTGGTCTGATCTAATCTGATCTGATCTGATCTGATTGGATCTGATTTGATCTGATCTGATCTGATTGGATCTGATCTGATTTGATTGGATCTGATCTGATCTGATTGGATCTGATCTGATCTGATTGAATCTGATCTGATATGATCTGATCCGATTAATTATGATTTAATTTAAAATTTTAAATCAAAAATTTAATTTAACTTTATAATAACGTTTGAAAATTGCAATGTTAATTCAGATTATAATATAATCAACATTTTTTATTTAATGATTATTTTTTAATAAAATAAAAATAGTCAATTCATATATTAGAATAATCATTCATATTGTAATGTAAGAATATTTTTATTTTATGATTATTTTTTTGTAAAATTAGAATTATACATTAGAATAAATATTTAATTTAGATATACATTAAAAAATAATTAAATTTAGATAATCAATAAATAGAAGAGATAATATTTTTATTAAAATATCTCATCCTTATAAAAGATCAAAAGTTTAGAAACTCAAATTACAAGTAGCAATAAAAATATATTTTACAAGTAAAATTAGATTAACATTGTAATAATGATGATGGTGATAATGATGATGATGATGATATAATAATAATAATAATAATAATAATAATAATAATAATAATAATTTTTGATGAGATCTGATTTTAATAAGTCTTGATCTAATCTGATCGGATTTGATCTGATCTGTAATAATGATGATGGTGATAATGATGATGATGATGATGATAATAATAATAATAATAATAATAATAATAATAATAATAATAATAATAATAATAAGTTGAACGGGAGTCTCTGCGCGACTCATCGCCGGTAATGAACCCGTCACCTCGTCTCTGTATCCATGGCCACTCTCCAAGCCCACTCCTCAAAGCATCTCATCTTCCCCGTCTCTTCTCCTCCAAGATTACTCCATTTCAGAAACCCTTTCACTCTCTCCTTTTCCCGGGAGCTCTTATTTCCCCGGAAAATCGCCGGGGTTCGGAGGGGTTCAAGCTTGCTAGTTAAAGGCTCTCACAGAGACGACGAATCTCTTTCTACTATTGAAAAGGAGAAGGAGAACGAGAGGCCTCTGTTCGATATCAATTTGGCTGTCATTCTTGCTGGTTTCGCATTCGAAGCCTACACTAGCCCTCCTGTTAAGTATTGTGAATATGTCCCGCTTTATTTCTTGCAATTTCTTCTTCTGTTTATCTGATAGTGTAGATTTCTAGGATGAAAGGAGGATATATACATCTGGTTAAAAAGCGGGTTTTGAATTGTGGATTCTTCCCCTAGTTTTTTGGAGGAAGTAATAGCACATCAGGACAAGACTGTATTATTTCTTCCAATTTTGTCGGTTTATCTCATTCTTTAGAATTTAAGGTGAATAGAAGAGAGAAACAATTGGTAATTGAGAAAAAAAGAGATTTTTAGTCATGGGTTCTTCCTCTAGTTTTGGTAGGAATGAGGGCACATCAGGATAAGAGTTCTTGCCTTTGTTTCCATCGCCCAAATTTATGTATAAATCACGAGTGACTCTGAGTTCAATGGATACTGATTAGCGAAGTGGTGTGGTACTGCAGTTCATTGAATTTGAGGATGAATATGTATAATGTATAGGCTGGCATTATTCATAAGAAGATGAGTTCTTTGATCAATTCATTAGTTTCTTACTCCATAGTCATGCCATGGATTCTAACATTGAGGATGTGGGTCCTGTGGTTCTTGAGTTGGTGGTGATGAAACATTGTTATTCTGATCAGCGAGATGCTGGAAAACATGAAGTGGATGCGGCAAATTGCGAAACTGTATTTCTTTCAGAGTATGTTGGACCTTTTACTCTTGAGCAATGATTTTATGTAGGAAGCGTAATCCTGCTCCATGAATTCCCTTGATAGTGATATTTCTTTTCTTGTTTTTGGATAGACTTTATAAGATGACATGTAAGTAGAGTCATTGTTCACAAATACAATTTTATCAAAACTTCAACGGCTGCCTACTTATATTGATGTATGTGTGTGTACTTTGTCCTCAGAATAATATTAAGATTTGTATAGAAAAACTGATGTTCATAATAAATGAAATAGGATCACATTTCAGATTTAGATACATAAGCAGTACTGCAGTAGTAATGAATTATACACTTATCAATAGGCGCATGAGAGGGTACCACATCTTTAGTTTCAAAGCTTGAGAGACTATGAAATACCAAAAGGTTGCAATGTTATACTCAGTATAAATGTGTTTGTGAGCACTAGCTTCTTCCAAAATTCAATTATATAAAGCTCATAGAAAAGAAAAAATAGTTAGAAGTAAACATCTATCTTCATATCCTACGATATAATGTTGTATGATTGTAGTTCATTCGGACACAAGTACACTAACACTTCAGTGAAATGTTTGTAACATTTTCCTTTCAAATGACTGCTAAATTTCATTTCACATTTTGCTTTTCAGATCATTTTTGCGTGAAATTTATGATGGTCAGCTCTTCATCAAGCTGAATAGAGGTTTTGATCTTCCTGCCATGGATCCATGGGTAAGGTTCTTCTTTAGTGAACTCTAGGTCGGTACTTAGTTTGATGCTATGTGAAGTCTGGTTGTTTTTCTTGTTGGACCACTGCTTTTTGAATATGTCTACATTGACGTTCGTTTGATCATTTTCAACAAAATGTTAAGTGTTTTCTTACGATATATATGCTTTTCCTGTTTGAGGTTTTAAGGGTACAAGTGATCCGTATGTGGTCATTCAGTTGGATAGCCAGGTTGTCAGAAGCAAGGTTAAATGGGGGTAAGTCCTCTTCTCCATTCAAAGCATCATTTTGTCTACCCCAAAAGGAATCACATTTGATTAAGCGATTTTTTTCACCCAAACAAGTATGATACATTGTGTAAATCCAACAAATGAATTTTTAAGTATAAGATTCATGAATGTTAACAACGGTACCTTACTGAAAAATGTAAAAGATGCAGATTGACCAATTTAGGCGGAAGTAGTATTTATCATGTCACAGAGATGAGAAACTGTTATTATCTTGCTTACCAACATTTGTTTAAATTTCAAAACAATGCAATTCGTTATTTGATAATACTAAAGCTGTTATAATCAAAACTGTTATTATCAAACGGTTATTATCTTGTTTTCAGTTACCAAAGCCCTCTTTTCTTTGCCCTCTCCATTTTCTTGCAGCCAAACCGAAGAAAATATCTAGAAATTTGTGTTTTCTCACTCTTTTCCTTTCTCTTCATTTTTTCTCACTATCCAAACAGCCTGTAATGGATTTGAGTTCACTAAATCCTAGTTTTGCAAACTCTGTCGAAGCACTACACTAGTTTGGCAAACAACCCTTACTGATAGGTTTCTCCCAAAATTTCACATTTATAATGAAGATTTCTATGACTATCTTCTACCCTTTCTCAAAAGGATTTGAAAGGCTATATTTGAACCTTTACCCACTATGAGTACCTGTGGAGGCACTAAGGTACCAAAACTGTTGAAAAGATACATAAGAAAAAGCTTGATTCTAACAGGTTTTTGCCAAAACAATTCCTTTGAGTTTAAAACCTTTTGGGCATTTGGAAAGGTGTAAGAATTGGTTTTAACCTTGGGATATGTGAGTGAATTGAGCTTGTGAATACAGTTATATAAAACATATATGTTACAATATTTCTACCTATATTTTACGCTAGTTCGGCATGCAACACTATAACTTTGCTCTTGAAAACCAATGCGTTAGTGGATTCAGGTTGTACCTGAAATGGTCAATGAACATTAGCTCTTATATTGTTTGCTAGCATCAAACCAAATGGGTTTAGCAAACCAAGACTAACATGGACAAACAAAATTAGTATGTGCTTCTATCTATACAATATAAGTACCCTCAACAATCTCCAGAGTTTTAATTCTATTAAGGAAATTGGAGCAGGACCAGAGAACCAATTTGGAATGAGGAGTTTACTTTAAATATCAAACAGCCACCCGTTAATGATCTTCAGGTTTGCCTTAGATAGTGAAATTTCATATGTATCCATTAACTTTTCATGCTTGCTGATTAAGAATTGTCTGGAATTATTTTAATTTATAATTTTTTGATGCACTTGTTTTTTGAGTAAGCTGCTTAATGATTAGTCTTAGCAAACAGACCCATTAGGAAGTGTAATCTTGTACACTTTTGATCGACAAAAGTATTGCCAACAAAAATCTTTAAAAGAATATCAATCCTGGTACATATATGCTTCAGCAGGCAATAAATGACATCTTAACTTTAACACTACTGTGTTTTTCTAATTTACTAGTTGAACTTCAAATAAAGTGTTTGAAGAACATAAATTTGATTTCTGTCTTTGACTCATATTTTATTTGATCTAATGCATTGTCAGCTCGCAGCTTGGGATGCTAACCTTGTGACTCCACATAAGCGCATGGGCAATGCAGCAGTTAATTTGGAAAGCCTTTGTGATGGTATGATCTCAACTAAATGCTAATCCAGTTATGGGTCTCTCATAATATATGGAAACTCCTCATACATCATTACATCAGCACATTTTTTAAACAGTTGGTTCTTGTTATAAATATGTAGAAGACAGTTGAAATTGTGTGTGTGTGTGTGTGTGTGTGTGTGTATTATCATTTCAATTTACAAAGTAATATTTTTTAGGAAACATGCATGAAGTGCTGGTTGAGTTGCAGGGGATGGGCAGTGGTGGAAAGCTACAGATAGAGGTATGTCAATAGACTGATCTAATGCTCCACTTGACACATATTGAAGATGCACCCGATTTCTTTTCTCTATAGTCTTCATATATATTCAACTTGTAAATAATTAAGATTCCCCATTTTTTGAAGAATGTTTTATAATATCGGCCCGGTTCCATGGCCACTGGATTCCAGTGGCCACGGAAGCCACTGCCCCCCTACGGAGCTCCGTTCGTAAAATTGATGATTCCTACCCCCTAACCCCCGGTAAACCCCCCCGCCAAGTCCCGACCCAAACTCATCCCCCACCTACGTCAATTGCACCGCGTAAGCATAATTGACCTTAAAGTCAAAACTTTTGACTTTATGCTTACGCGGTGCAATTGACGTAGGTGGGGGGATGAGTTTGGGTCGGGACTTGGCGGGGGGGGGGGTTTACCGGGGGGGTTAGGGGGGTAGGAATCATCAATTTTACGAACGGAGCTCCGTAGGGGGGCAGTGGCTTCCGTGGCCACTGGAATCCAGTGGCCATGGAACCGGGCCGTTATAATATACCCCCTTCATCCCCAAATATTTGTCATTTTAGCCAAAAATTTTTCCCAAAATAATATATAATTTTTTTTGGAATTCAATGCGAATTTTCAAATAATCTTCCAAAGTTGCCCGCATATACTAGTATTTTTTAATTTTTATTAAATGCTTTTGTATCTTGAAGTAGGGGTAAGGTCTGCGTACACACACATTCAACTGTGTTGTTGCTTTTGTATCCTGAAAATCAGGGAAAAGTTAATACATAGATGAGTCATCGTATATGCCTCCGATTTCTCATCTGAAATGACAATTTTGGGAGAAGAGGGAGTATCTATATGGAACATTTTGGTAACATTCTTTTTCATCATATTGCTATAGCATATTAAGAGCTTGTTCTCTTTGTCCGATCTGATTTTATTAAATGGTGATCTGATTAAAGTTATATTTGAAATTGTTTCTGATCTGATTTGATTCCAATATGAATAAGTAATAAGAATAAGTTGAAAAGAACAAGCTCTAAGTTTCTAGACTTTCTTACACACATAATACAATAATAGTCTGGATAGGAAGAACTCAAAAGCAGATGCCTTGAATCAAGGCCCGTGACTAAATCTTCAATGATGCACCAAACAACAATATCTTTCTCTTTAGCCTTTGGCTTTGCAAGCTATCTCCGTGGTAAAACCTTCTTGATGTAACAGCCACAGAGTCTATATATTTTTAAATTTCTGTTCTGATATTTGGTTGCAAATCCTATTACCATACAAGTGATACCACTTGACTTGTTATTATATCTAGTTATTTTATGGGTCTTTTTTGCGTGTGTACTCTCACTTAGCATATGAAACATTTCAGATTAAGTACAAGAGTTTTGATAAAGTTGAAGAGAGAAAGTGGTGGCACATTCCAATAATTACAGAACTTCTTGAGAAGAATGGTCTTGAATCTGCACTGAAGACAGTTCTTGGCACAGAGATGGTGCAAGCACGTCAGTTTGTACATTTTGCTTTTCCACGGCTTAAGTGGACTGATCAAAGTAATGACACTGGAATTTGGAAGGATCAGGCTTCAAATGAAACTGAAGCAATAGGAAAACATAGTGATCATTCAGGAGATTTNGATAAACATTTTTGGAAAAACATTGCTGATATTGTGAATCATAATGTTGTCCAGAGAATTGGTTTTCCTGCTTTTGATAAAATAAGGTGGGATGAATTTGACTTGTTAAATAAGATTGGGTTGCAGTCTCAACAAGTTGCAGTCGCCAGTTATATTGAATCTGGACTTGCTACTCCTGAAAAGCAGGAAAGGTTGGTACCACAAATAATGAACACAATTCAATCATCATTGCCAGATATTAAGAAGGCGACAAGAGATTTGCTACAGCAGACTGATTCCATTCTGGGTGCTCTTATGGTTCTAAACACAACAGTTTTCAAGTCAAACAAAGGGGTAGAACTTATTGGAAGCGGCAACACAAAAAAAGATTCAACACCTGAAATAAAAAGTGACGTTCATGGATACCCAATACATAATGCAGCAATCTTAAATGAAACGAAAACCGAGGAAATGAGGGAACTATTTACAAGAGCAGAAACTGCTATGGAGGCTTGGGCAATGCTAGCCACATCTTTGGGGCACCCGACTTTTATTAAATCTGAATTTGATAAGATATGCTTCTTAGATAACTCATCTACTGACACTCAGGCAACTCTCTTGTTATTCTAAATTAGTGCTTCCTTTGTCCAAGAGTGTATCATGTGTTTGTCTTAGACATGGTTTTATATAAAACAATTTCCATATCTACCTCTGAAAAGAAAAGAGAATTGGATCTCACCAAGTCTTGTAGGATAGATTCAAAGAAAAACAAAAAACTGGTGGTGTTCAAATTTGGGAAAGTAAACATTGATTTGGGATGTAGTAAAACAGTAATGAAAGATCGAACAAAATGAGGTGTAGGGACTCTTTTTCTTTTGGTATAAAACTTTTTTTAGAGGTGAATGGACATCTAATCACATACTGTATAGATCTGCAGGTTGCACTTTGGCGAGATCAATCACGGAAAAGATTAGTTGTTGCTTTCAGAGGAACAGAACAAGTAGGTTCACATACATACTAATCCTTGATTAACAATTTAACATATCTCAGGTTTATACTTTAGAGCACTTGCTTGTCACCTTTTCCAGGCTAGATGGAAAGATCTGCGGACAGATTTAATGTTGGTTCCAACAGGGTAAATCTCTCAATATAAAAGATGATTTTTTGTCTCATATTACTAATTTTAGTCACTTTGATTTGCATGGGCTAATAATATCTGCTGGTTGTACTGTCAAATTTGATTCAGTTCTAATTCAGAAAAAGTTTTTCAAAGCAACTTTAGCACAGTTAGGTCTCGGTATGTCACCTTATTGAAGGGAAAGCAAATAGATGGAAAACAACATTTTCTATTAGATAACCCAGTTAGAACTATACAATACTTTATGAGTCAAAACATGTTATTATTGGAAATATTAAATATATTTATCCTTCTGGATTTATTGTTCTGTTACTAATGATATTTTCTAGCTATTGGAGTTTGCATATTGAACTTGGGACCTGGATTATAAATGACCTGTGTGTGTGTGTGTGCATTTTAAAGAGTCAACCAACTTAAAAATATCTGTGTGGGTTGTGCACTTGGTTTGCTAAGGACATACTTATTTAAAGGCCAGAGCAGTGCTGTACACGTTATGTTTAACACTAGCAATGACACTATTGTTACAAAAATAATACTCTGTGATAAAGATTTCCTTCTTTTTTCTGTAGTAGGGTGTGTGTGTTATAGATGGATAACTGAGCTCATTATCTGCTTCTACTTTTGGCTCTATCTTAATTCTGTAGGCTAAATCCTGAAAGGATAGGAGGTGACTTCAAGCAGGAAGTTCAGGTATAAATAATTTTGGAGTTTTAGCACACTACATATTTTTGAAATGGGAGTTTTTCCCACAACATGTATACTTGTGAAATACATTAGGGAGCTTACCTATAAATGCAACAACAACAAACTGAGTATCTTACCAGGATCAGGTTTATTTAGCTAATAAACATAAAGCTTCTGTGAAAAGTCTCATGCTAATTCATTTACCCCATGGAGAAGAAGATGAATAGTGAGATAAGTAGGTTATAGTTTGGGGAGATTGGGGATGATAAAGGAAATTGTCTTTTCTGCACTTGAAAATTTTGCATATGCCGATGCCATTCCCCATCCACATAAAACGAATTGACTAATTGTTGGTTGAATTTATCCTCCCCATATCCCAGTGGTAAGATTCCACTGTGTTGTTGCTGTTGATTGAATTTAGATTGTATTTTTCCATAACACACTAACACTCTCTTATTCCCAAAATATTAGTAATAGTTTGACTTCACAGTGTTTAAGAAAATTGTAATTGTTGAAAAGTAAAAAGTGGATGGTAGAATGTTTAGAAGAAAGAGGAGTTAATGTCACACACATATTCTTTATTCTATTGGAAAAGTGTAAAGAAGCATGACAATTATTTTAAGACAACCCAAAAAAGAAAGTGTGAAGAGTGTTTTGGGATGGAGACGGTTTATTTTTCAAATTGGAAAATTATGGACAAGATTAACATAGTCATAGCCTCACGGGCCAGGCTTGATTAAGACACGACTAGCTCTAGTGCAAAGCAGTGGATTGTGTTCTGGCCTGTGTTTCTAGATATGGGACGCAGATTTACAGAGACCAGTTCATCTGTTCAAATCATTTTTATGTGCACTTGAGAGCATACAAGTATCCAATGCGGTAAATATCTTATGCAGATGCGTCAAGTATTAAAAGTAGGGGTGCATGATACGTTTTCACACAGGTGAAATAATGGAAATGAATAAATTTAAGAATGCATTGTGTTTTATTCGTGGTAAGAATTTAAGATTGTCTTATAGAGTTATAGGCTATATATGCTCGTATGTGAGTACACAATCTACTGAATTGCATCACAGGCTATCGTTGTGTCTCTAGCAAGGGTTTCAGTTATACGGGGTGCTTATTTATTATCATCAATACAGCATTCTGTTTCTCCCTTCATGTTGTTTCATAAATTATGTTACCAGAGCAAGATCAATTTGGTCTTAAGACCCTTTGATTTTTACTACTCCTGATCTCGTTGGTATCGGTGATTTTCATTTGCCAATTTGTGTTGAAGCTTATATCTACTTATTCTTCATTTTCAAATCTACCCTTTTAGCTCATTAGTCTCTAACTTTCCGTTCCTTCACCACTCTTAAACTTCACAACAGGAAAGGAAGTCATCGTATTCACATTAAAATGAGCAATTTAAATAGACACAAGATGAAAGGCAAATGTAATCTGTTAGGATGTACTCTCTGTTTGAACCACTGCATGGTTGTCGTCTGGATTCTTTGACATCCTTCACTGGTGAACATTGTGAATGAATGAATCAGCTATGGACGTACTGACTTTTCTTCACATGTTATCAACTTCATGCTCCCATCTTCTAGGACTTGTGGGAGTAGCATAGAGATGTGATTGGTGAAGAAATGGAGGGTATGTTTGAAACTGTGAAGTTAAATTTTTTCATTTAGTTTTAATTAAACAGTCTAAATACTAACCTGTATCTTAATAGTTCAGTAATCTGGGAATTAAGGAGAAATTGCAGGTAAAGGCTCAACTTTCACAGAAGTACTCTTACTTTTATTTCATCAAGTGTAATCTTATCGGTGGAAGGTGTATCTTCTCACTACATAATTTGAAAGTCGTGGATTAAAAATGTAGAATTGGAATGATTAGGTTGGGATTTATGAATTATATCAGGATAACTTTGGAACCGAGGTGCAATCTTTGGTTTATTTAGATTTTATCTTGTGAGACTTAAGAATGTCTTTTTAGGGAAGTCTTTGAAGGTGGGCTTTAATGTTATTTTATTTGTTCTCGAAAAGGGAAGGGCATGTAAATGGTCCCTTTGGGATGTGGAACACCTTTGCGTTGATACCACATGATATACCTGAACCTTGGGTCTTAATGTCTTATCAAGTACTCCCTCCGTCCCCCTGTATTTGTCCACATTTGACTTTTGGAACTGTTCATCTAAACACTTTGACTCATCAAATTCTCTCAATGTGTAAGCCTAAATATAGTCATGTGTGATCTTGTTTGATTTGTCTTAACATATAGATTATTAATATATAATTTATATAATTTTTAATATACAAATTACAAGATAAAATGGATTAAAGAAGTGCATTGGATGGTGTGCAAAAATGAAAGTGGACAAATACAGGGGGACGGAGGGAGTAGATAAGAAAGTTGGTAAAGTTGTGTGGGATATGGTAAGGCCGAAATGGATGGGTATGAAGGTGGTGCTTTGGGTCATAACGGTGATCATTTGCGCATGTGTCATTTTGGGAAGTATGAATTCAACCCAAAGTGGTTCATAGCACTTGGACATTAGGGTATTGACTTCCTTGAGCTCTTGTGTTGTGATGAGTGGTAGAGTAGAGCCAATTTGGGGTATATATTAGATCCCTTCTTATTATAAACTGAAATAAACTGTAAAAGCCCCTTACAAAGTACAAACTAATAAAATCCTGTATCTTTTCCATCCTCTGACAAATCAGCACCTTTCTTTGGATACTTCTTATTCATGCGCATATATCCTTTTCTACACTTGAGGCTCATTAGAGTATAGAAATAAGATACACTAATGATGCAGCAGGGCTCCTAATATTCTTGGAGTTCTTATGATGTTACTCTTTCCTGATAATGACTAATGAAATGATAATGCTTATATTTTCTTCAGGTCCACAGCGGTTTTTTAAGTGCATATGATTCGGTCAGAACAAAGCTTATCTCACTTATCAAGCAAGCAGTTGGATATGTGTAAGTTGTCATGCTTATCTTGGTTATTTTCAGATTGCACTTAAATATTGGTTATCTTGGTTATTTTTTCTGGCTCCATTAAGCGTATAATTCATCTTGAAGCATGTACTAGGCTCCATATATTAATGGCTTAATGTGTCTTGTCTATATTCCATGTAATTTTTCTATGTTTAGTGTATTAGACAACTAAAGTCTCTTCATTATTCCTGAGTGTATCTATTTAATGTTAGAAAAAATAATAGGAAGAACAAATTAAATAGAATATTTCATTGCTGTAAAAACTGTCCAGGATTATTTGTGTTCTCTAAATATAAATAAAGAACAGACCAACATGACTTTTACTAACCAACACCCCTATTACAAACCAACACACCTATTAACAATAGAAACTACCCATAACTGCCTTTTAGAAACTACCCACTGTTTTTTTAAATAATTAAATATGTAAAAACACACTAAACGACACCACACTAATTGACTCTATACTAACTGACCCAAACATTGACTCATTACCCATTCGGTTATATGTGAACAAACCCGATTATATCTAACAATCACACCCCTAATCGTTGTTTGTTCACATTGATCTTCACAGCAACGTTGGTTCACTATCATCTTTAATCAAATTTGCAATGTGTTCCTTTTGATCCCATTTTGGACATTCGTTCAAAAAAACCCCCTAACTCATTGCACTTGAATCACCTAATGCGACTCTTTTCCCGATGAAACAGTCCACCATCCCGACTTTTCCCGGACCCCGACCTCTACCTCGGCCACGTCCAAAGTCTTCTCGGTTTAAGCTCCAGCAACCACAATGCTCACATTTGTGCTCCTGAACCTTCTCTTTTCCATTGCTTTTAGTGAATGGTGGTTTACTGTGCATATCTTCTTCTTCGGGTTAAGGTTGGCAAACTGTTAACTATTCTCCCTTGTAGTCACAATCTGTCTATTTGTGTTGTTCTCCCATTGCACGACTTTAATTCCTTTGACAATTTTCACAAAATTCTTAGACTTTGATTCCTTCCTGGGTCGTAAGCCACCTGCAATCGACCATCAACCAGAAGACAAACCGCTGCTTTTCCGTCTTCCAAGCCACTAAACAAAAACTACCCCGCTGATTCGTTTTTCCCTGACTGTTTGGTTGGAACGCTTCTGCCAAAGGAAAAAAACTAGCCACTTGCTATTCTTGTCCTAGGCGAGGAAGAATCTTGTCGAAGATTTTTGATCTGTTGTCAAGGAAGTCTCTAATGCTCCGTTATACGATCTGGCACATCACCCTTTTCTTGCCGCTGATTGCACACGCTCCGATACCAATTGTTAGAAAAAATAATAGGAAGAACAAATTAAATAGAATATTTCATTGCTGTAAAAACTGTCCATGATTATTTGTGTTCTCGAAATATAAATAGAGAACAGACCAACATGACTTTTACTAACCAACACCCCTATTACAAACCAACACACCTATTAACAATAGAAACTACCCATAACTGCCTTTTAGAAACTACCCACTGTTTTTTTAAATAATTAAATATGTAAAAACACACTAAACAACACCACACTAATTGACTCTATACTAACTGACCCGAACATTGACTCATTACCCATTCGGTTATATGTGAACAAACCCGATTATATCTAACATTTAATATATTTTTTTAACTCTGCAGTAACTCAGGTACCCAATGGCAGGTTTTTGCTGTTGTCAATTATTATGTAGACTACTTTTATACATTCTGTCATATTGGAACTTGGAGGCTACCAAGAACTATACTAATAACGCATTTGTAATCATATAATCTCAATTACAATTTGAACAATTGAAATTAACTCAACCAGGTTTCAATGAAATGAATGCAGAGATGATGGCCTTGAACCCACTTCCAAGTGGCATGTTTATGTAACTGGCCATAGTTTGGGCGGTGCTTTAGCTACTCTCCTTGCTCTTGAGTTATCAACAAGTCAACTGACAAAGTAATGTTGTCTTCTCTGAACTGGTTGTTTTATATACATTCTGTCCTCTTCATGATGGTTGTTTGCTTGACTGCATGCCAATTTCTGTTAAACCTCTTTTTGGTGGATAGACCAGTGTGCTTCTTAAACATGATAACATGCGAATCTTTGTGTTAATGGCAAAGCTATATTATTTGAGATTACCGAGTTTTATCTTGGACATCCACAAAGTTTTTTGCTCGCTTTTATCATTACTCCCAACATCCCAATATTATTGTCCTAGTTTGAATTTTTTTGTCAAACAATGACACTCTTTGAGCACAAATTAAATATAATTTTAAATAAATAAATGTAATAAAAATTTGATATATCAAAACTACATCTTTAAATGAATCCAATTATATTACATTTTCAGTATAGCTAAATATACTTTTACAATTTATGGTCAAAGAGTGTCACAGTTTGACCAAAAAAAGTCAAACTAGAACAATAATTCTGGGACAGAGGGAGTGTTATTTTGCATTCAGAGATTTTTGAGGATCTTACTTTTAGTGTGTTTGATTGGAGTGGACAGAAAGGAAGGTAAAGTGTTCCCCTTCCCTCATTTGATTCAAAGAATTGAAGGGGAGGGGAGTTAGCATTTTCTCCTCTTTCCGTTCCATCCAACCAAACAAGGCACCTTTGAAATCTCAAGCCATTATTTTCCCACTCCCCTCCAACAAACCAAACAAGGTAAATCCACCCCCTTTCTCCTTTTTGTCTCTTTCTCTCCCCTCTCAAATCAAACACATCCTTAATGAAAAAAAATGTTCACATTTGAAATCCAAGTTTATGTTTTTCATTATCATTTTTTATTTAGTTGTCTCTGTGGCTGCGTGTAGGCGTGGAGCTATCTCTGTGACTATGTATAATTTTGGATCTCCCAGAGTTGGGAACAAAAAATTTGCTGAACTGTATAACGAGGTGAAGTTACTTTCTGACTTTAATTGAATGTAAAGCAAACCTGTATTATCTCTTCTCACTTTTCAATGTGTAGTCTTTGTCATAAACAGTTTTAATGGAATTTTTAGGAGAAATACTGGAAGGAAAGTGGTCTGTTTACTTTTCTTCTGATCAGACAATTGCGTTTTTATAAGAAGCTAAATCTTTTCTCATAGTAAATTACTAAAATTTCTATAATATGATTCTCCTCATTTTTGAACTAGAACCAGACTTCAATTATTTGTGCCTTGTGGGGTCTTATTTTTATAAAAGTTAATATCTATATTACTAGGCTTCTTTGTTGCAGAAAGTCAAAGATAGCTGGAGGGTTGTAAATCACAGAGATATAATTCCAACAGTTCCACGTTTAATGGGCTACTGCCACGTGGCTCAACCTGTTTATCTCACTGCAGGATATCCAAAAAATGCAATGGTGATAAACTGCTGCTCCAATTCCTTAATTTTCTTTTTACATGTTTTTAATGTTTAATTTTCATTTTATAAAAATAAGTTCCCCCACAATCTACATGTTCAAAGACTTTGTCATAACTTTGAGTACATCATCATGACCACCTTGATCCCAACTTCTTTAAGGTAGGTGTATGAGAAAGGATTAAATAATGAATTAAGCGGGAAAAGAATGTGTGGGTAATAAAGAAGGATTTCAAATTTCGTAGTTTGGTTGGTAGGGTGAGTGTTTAAAAAAGGCCAAATAAACAATGTACAATGCCTTAGATGCTGGGTAGGAGTATTTTCTTCAGCATGTATAAATTAACATTTGTGGAAGAAACTTCCATTACCCCAAACACGGGAATCGAATGGTGGAGCCGTGGAGGGACTTATTAATAAGGAAAGGTAATGATATTCCCTTGGACCATACACCCTGACACGGACAATCACTTCTATTAGCACAATCAATTCTTGCCCAAAAAAAAAACAAAAATATTCTAATGGATGAATATATTTCATCTTTGTTCTCTGAAAGCTTTTCATGGCTTCAAGCATTTGTTTGTTACATAATGCAGGCTAACGTTGAACCATTAGAAGATAGCTACCAAGCAGATGTTATTGGGGAAGCCACACCTGATGTTATTGTCAGTGAATTTGTATGTTTGAAACTTCTATCTTTGTTTTCAAAATTTGATACAATATAGATATTTGAGGCATTAGTGATTGTATTGTTCTTCATACACACACACACACACAAGTGTAGAACCTTACCACAATAGAGGATACAGAAAGAGTCAATATATGAAAAATCAATAGCTACATAATATTCACATTAATGAAAAGAATACCAAAGAGTCACCTTTGCATGCTTCCTCAGGTTTCTATTTGCAAGTTTTTTTTAAATGTAATGTCACTTCCCTTTTTTGTTTTCTCAATTTTGTTTCATGGAATCATTGAGGGAAGCAAATGTTGTGTAACAAATCAGGACATGTTTTTGTCCTAACTTTATTTTATTTATAGTGTCTACTGCTCTTGCATATACTTGCATATGAAGCTCCTTTTTTCTTATATTAATATTTCCATCTTTTTCTTACAATGGGTATGCAGATGAAAGGCGAGAAGGAATTTATTGAGAAAATATTGAACACGGAGATCAATTTTTTCCGAGCTATTAGAGATGGGAGTGCATTGATGCAGCATATGGAGGATTTCTATTATATTACCCTCTTGGAGGTATATTACTTTCCTAGCTCTCCAAGGCAATAATGCGTGTGCGATTCTTATGCTTTAGCTTGTTCCCATTTTTCAGAATGTGAGGTCAAACTGCCAGAACCTTACAATCACGTGAAGAGTTGCTGTAATAATGGTTGCAGCAGGTGAGAAGAGAAAACTAGCCGTATTTCTAAAGCTTATAATGCCGTCGTACCTCAAAACAGGGGGGAATGGGGTTGCAAATGGGTGTGTTGGGACTGAGGCTGATATATAACAGGTGCCGAAATGGACAGATTTGGAAATCGGCGTTGCACATTTTTCATAAAAGTCGGCATTTGGGTCTACCATTGCGCACCCTCATTCGGGTGGGCATGGTTCCGGTTCCTAAAATGGAGGAAACAGAACTAGAACCTCTTGGGACCATCCGGTTCCACCGATGGTTCCCATTTTGGTTCTTGTTTTGATCTGTTTATTATTTAAAAAAAATAAAACAAAAACAACTTAACAACCATTAGATACTGGGTTAAACAAAAAGAAAAAAAGGAAAAAAAAGAAAAGTAATGTGCATCTCTAGATCATTTTATGTCCCAAGATCATTTCATGTCCCAACCAAGTTTTAATCAAATCCTGACATTCATGTAGTTCACAGTGGAAAGAACAATAAAGGCACAAGTCTACTCCCCATAAAAATATCTAGAGATGCACATTACTATAATCTTGAGAATGAGACTCATCCTTTTTCTTTAGTTGTACTCCGGTAACATATTCCCTTTGTGCATAAATAACGCTTCGGTTGCGTGTAACGATGTTTGACTAAAGTTATTTTCAAATTATTTTATATGGAAAATGGTATGAAATTAAAAAAGAAACATTACACATTTAAAAATTACATGAAAAGATTTACAAGATTAGAAGTGACATGACTATATGATTTTCTTTTCCTTCCATTTTCCATTTCTTTTAAGACAAAAGGAGTAGTTCTTTGTGGAATTATCCGTAAAAGCTTTGAAGAAACCTAATTGGATGAAACAAGTTCAAACTCGAATACTCTAAATCAAATTGTTTTCCCTAATCTCATTACGAGCACTATTCTTCAAAAGTTGTATTGTATCTACGATATGATTTTACATAAAAACTATGTCCCTATTAGGAAATAGTGTTTTGATTAGCGTTTACGTTTTGGATAAAATTTTAACAGTGTAGAGCTAAATGTTTTTCATAAATAATCTTTTCAAAACGTAAACACTAAACTCTCGTGTTATTAACTAGTTTCTTATGAAGGTGTTACACTTGTTAGAAATCAAATGGATACATAGGGGGCTGATCCTCTAATGGATTTTTTTTAAACTAGTATTATTTTCTAATTTTTTATATGAAAAATATTACTAGTGCCCTCCTAAAAATTTTTAGATACCCCATTAACTTTTTCTAATCTAAAAAAGGCAAAAAATTGTACTCCGGGGTAACACTTTAATTGTAAATTAACTTAAGTGATCTAGTTATGTATTATCTCTAAAATTAAAAGTGTTTAATTACTTATTTATGATTTATGTGTGCTAATTTAAAATATTGAAATAAAATTTAGTACTACTCCGTACTAGTCATTTCACATTGGATTTCAAAATGTTGCGATTTTCTAAATTTTTAGGATTTTTTTATTTTTTTGATTTCTTTATTTGCACAATTTTTTTAAAGAGTAGATCTATTTTTTCGATAAAAAGATAATTAAAATCATTTTTAATGATTGAAATATGTAAAAAAAAGTAAAAAATACAAAAAATGACTTACCAGTACAAAAAATGTCACTCTATTCTCTTGTTATATGTTAACTGGACTCTTTTTGATTGTTAAAATATTCTTGATCATCGTGTGACACTCCATTTCTTTACTTGGCATTGTTAATGCTTTAAGAAGAGAGATCTATGACCTATTTTCTTGGAAGGTCTCTAGCATCAAATTGCTCCAAACTAGATATGCATTTTTCAAGTATTGAGACACACATTTTTTTAAATGAAAAGGTTAAAAAAATTGTGTTAAAAGGAACCATAGAACTTTTCTATTCTTGAACAATTCTAAAATACTTGATTCGGTTTTGTTAAAGCTTTCATGAAAAACAACTTTATATGGTTAAAACTCATGAAAATGTAAAGAAATGATAACAACTACAGAGTATTTAATAAAAATTTTACGTTAAAAAAGTTTATTATTCCACAAAAATAAAAAATTAAATATGATGAGCATGGAGTACTTGATTTGAGGAATTGAATAATTAAATATGGAGAAGTGAATTGACTCATAATCAATTTATTTTCGGTTGGCGAGATAGGTTCTTCTTGTTGCAAGGTGTGTTTGGATCCATTTCACCATTTGGGGAGCATGCAGTACATTGTAGAGAGCCAGCCAGATTAAAATATCGACATGATTTGGTTAGGGACGTTCTCTTTGACATACTCTGGCGTACTGGGGTTTTTATTAAGAAAGAAGCATCAGAATTTCTTGATTCACTCGTTTGAATGAAGATCAATACTTTAGATTAGGCGACCAGCTGATATTTTGGTCTTTGAATGAATAAACGAGAAACATGCTTGTGTGGATTTTACATGAGCATTTCCTCTTGTAGGCTTGGGGGCAAGTCTTTTCATGGTGGGCCACGCTTAGGGGTGTACAAAATCCGGGTCGGACCAGAAAATCGGACCGGACCGGACCGGAAAAATTGGTTCCGGGCTAGACCGGTAAAATTCCGGACCGGTCTCCGGTCTAAGGATTTTGGACCGGTAAAATTCCGGTCCATTCCGATCCAAGACCGGATTGTTTCCGGGTCGGACCGGTAAGACCGGATTGCCTATTTTTTTTTTTAAAAAAAGTTAATACCTATGATACGGAGTTTACGTATAATTATAAATGCAATTGTATATTTTCATTTCTTTTTCTTATTTTAATATGAAGTATAATTTTTTAAATGTAATTTGTAATTTTTAATTCATTTCATTGACCTTTACCCAAGAATATCCATAAGTACAAAAAACTAAAATTATTTCCCAAAAATTGAAGTAGAATCTTTTGATTTAAAGTATTAAATACTTTGACCTGTATAAATTAGACTTGCTAAAACCAAAGTAATTTAAAATAAAAATTTATAATATTTTTGAAATTTCAAAACTAACGGAAGTATAAAAATCATTTTACACCAATTATATTGTTGATAAAAATATTTTATATTAATATAATTTCTTGAAACACACTACAAATTTGAAAAATAAGTAAAAAATACACAACAAGAAATAAAAAAAAATAAATTCCGGGTTTTCCGGTTTTTACCCGGACCGGACCAGGAAAAACCGGTCCGGACCGGAATCTAACCGGTCCGGTTTCCGGTCCTATGCTTTAGGGGATTCCGGGTTTCTGGTTTTTCTGGTTCCGGTCCGGTCCAGTCCGGTTCTGGACCGGTGTACGCCCCTAGCTACGCTGCGCTAAAAATTGCTTCATGCAAAGTAACCAAACACGAGAGAACATGTCTCGATAACTAACATGTGTTTTTTGTTCAATGTAGTTTTCAAAAGACAGTTTTATTATTAAAGAAGGGCTAGTGTCGTAGCTTGTTGCACACTTGCCTTTTAGCATTAAAAACTATATTAAAAACACATAAAAACTTAGTAGTTTTAATGAAAGTAGTTTTAATGAACAAAACACATAAAAAAAAAACATAATCACATAGAAAATGAATTTTTTTTATTTATGGACGGGAGAAATATAATACTCCCGGAGTACCCTCAATTGCCCATGCATCTCCGCGGAGCTGAAATCTCCTGCATAGTTTTACGTGAACAGAGAGAGAGATTTTCTATAAAATGCGATATAGCCATTTCAATTCCGTTGCCGCACGGGAGAGATAGAGCGAGAAAGGGTTTCCGGCCGGCTTTCCGCTGGGAAAAGGGAAAGTTGCAGAAGGGTTTGAGCTCTTTCGATCGGGGGAGAAATCGAACGATTTTGATCGGCAGGGGCCTCTTCCCCATTTGATTTCTCTAAACCCTTCACTCGCCTCTCCCAAATTTCCTCCTTCCTCTCCCATTGGACCCAAAATATAGAGCAAAAAACCCTTTTTTCCCCGCCCTGTCTATTCATGCAACAAGCAATACATTTTTGGTGTGGCGTAGGATATGGATTCATAAGAAGAAGAATCCATGATTTTAACGGCGTTGAGGATTTGAAGGAATTTCCATAGAGGAGGATCTTGATTGCTCCTGGAGTTGAAGAAATGGTAATGTGATTTATTAACATTTCAAACTGTGATTTCTGCAGGGACAAGACAAGATCACTAAAAAAAATGAAAATCTCATAATATCTGTCTTAACAATGACAAGATTTCATAGAGATAGGAAAAAAAAGGAGTACTGTTTATTTTCCTAGTAGATTCCCCCCAGAATTGGAAGTCTGAGCAATGATACTCTGGGAAATGTTCCATCCTCTTGAGGTTTAAAAGAGCATGGCTTTGTTGAATTTTTTTTTATAATAATGAAGTTTTCATAAGTAATTACTTTTAGACGAGGATTAATGGTAATCATGACTTAGATGTTCCATGAAGTTTTCATAAATCATTACTAGCTTTTAGTTGAGGATTGACTTAGATGTCTAATGCTATTTCAGTTTTCAATTTTATAGCTCATATACTTACTGCAGTTAGTTAGTTAGTTAGATATCAATAAATGAGATATGAAGTCATCATCATCCTCCTCCTCCTTCTTCCTCCTCCATGATTCATAGTTTTATTGCATGGATAGGTATATCTTTAATACATTGCTGTGGTTAGTGTATAGTGTAATTGTCAACACCTATATTTCTGTTTGGAATTTCATGCTAGTAATTTTAACCGTTTCTTGCAGAGTGTTTCCAGTGTAGTTGTTGGAACACATGTTTGGGTTGAGGATCCTGAGGTAGCTTGGATAGATGGAGAGGTTGTTGAAATCAATGGTGGAGATATTACAGTCAACTGTACATCAGGGGCAATTGTACGTTATTGCTTCATTTTCTCTTTGTCATCATCATTATCATCATAACTATTAGTTAACTAATGAGTTAACCTTTTAAGAAAATAACCTTAGAGAATGATGCTTTAGTATTATTTAAAACTGTTTATCTTGGAGAAACCTTATCACCTTTTTGTTTTATAGTTCCCTATTTTATAGCTAGCTCTAGTATTTCTGTATTTCACATTGGGACATTAGGATAGAAGTAATGTTTATTCTATTCTCATCTCTTTTGAGTTTTATATTTGGATTTATTTTGGAAAACTTTGATGTAAAAAGCGTATACAAGTATTTCCCCATTGTGACACTGTAGTTGTAGTTGTGTTAAAAATGAATGGTGTACTATTGTATACTCTTCCTATCTCCCATACAAAGAGTCCACTCTCTAAACTTTTTTTCTAAATAAATTCAATTTGAATAATTATAATTAATTTCGATTATATCTAATTTTTAAAATAGAAAGTGTCCTAAACAAGTTGATTGTGTTAGCTTTAGTTAAACCATTAAATAAATTTTAAAAATATAGCTATATTTGTTGGCTTTAAATGGTTAAACCTTAATAAATTTTGAAGTTGTAATATTGTACAACATAACTCTTTTTTATGGGACAATGGGAGCACTATTTTAAGCAATTGGATGTGTGAAGATTGAAGATATTGTTGAAGTTTTATATTTCTCTTTATCTAAATGAAGGGGATACAAGTATTTACTCCATATTTCTTAGAATAAGGTTCCACAATTCACTAAGTATAGTTATTAAGAAATATGAAATTGTGTGGTTGAGTTTTGTGTAGAGGAGAAATATGCTATATGAGTCACACATTTATTACCTCAAAAGGAAAGTGGATTTTTTAGGGACAAACCAAAAATGAAATGTGGAACCTTTTTATGTGACAAAGGGGTTGCAATACAAAACTAGTCTCCTAAGTCTTCCTAATGACATGAAGGGTGGCACAATGAGTGACATCAAAGTAATATGCAAAGGTTCTGGAATTGGTACTTTCCAGAAATGTTCCTACTTTATTCACAACTTTATTCCACATTTACTTCCTACACACCCCTTTGAGCCAGGGCATACAAGTCATATGCACTAACCTTGTTACATAGCGAGTAGCAAGTACATGAAGATCGTACCAAACCATAAAAAGAATGACATAATATAAACTGGCATTCTTGATATCCACTTCGAACAATGATGGGCAACTCATGGCAGCCATATATAAAACCAGGATTGAAGATAAATACGAGTTTTATATTTCTCTTAATCTGAATGAAAGAGGAATCAAGTACTAATAATACCAAAGTAGTCTTTGAAGTCTTCCTAATGACATCAAGTGTGGCGTCAAAGTAAGATGTCAAGTTTCTTGAATTGCTACTTGAAAAAATATTTGTACTTTATTTACAACTATATTCCACTTTTACTTGCCAAGGAGGCCCGATTATGCATCGTCTGTTTGCTCAACAATTTCTTTATTTTGTTTTTTTGAAAGAAAAGGTGCAATTATAGGCTCATAGCAAATGGTGGAAATCAAGGTACAGAAATTGAGTATTGAAAGACCTAAGCCAGTTTGGCCAATTGCTCCGTATATGACAACAAAGAGATGACTTTTCCATCAAATCAAATTTAAAAATATCATGAGCTACTACATTTTTTTTTCTCACATATGTAGACATCTCTGGTATCATCAAATAAACTTTGACAATCTTAGACCAAAACACATTTCGGATTCAGCATTTCAGCAACAAGGTAGGCATTCTTAGTGCATTCACAGCAGTAAAGCAGTCTGATTCAACATTAATATTCTAGAATTGCAGCTATTTAGCCTTCTATAAGATCCATTTCATCGCCTCAATCTCTAGATGTTCAACACCTCCTTCATTCTTCTTATAAGAACAACTGTACAAGCCATATATATACCCCTACCACTCTCATCTCTTATCCCGATGCCTAGTTCCCCACCAGTTTCATATTTTAGCAAGATTTTTGACCAGCTCTTGGCTCAGTGCATGCTTGCTCCTCCTCTATGCTTTATTATATATTTAACTTAGTGAAGGTGGGTGGGGGGAGGGAGTGAGTGCATGACACTGAGATTAGTAACTAGTTACATGGTCCAGTTTACCCCGTAACATATATGAAGTAACATGGGTGCGGTATTGGCATCAAGATTCATGATATGAGTATATAATTGATTTGAAATCAGGTTATCTGCTTTCTCGATTATGGGCATCCATTGAATGCACGTTCCTCAAGCTACTTTTCAATCCATCTTTGGACTAACGTTTCTTATGCTGCTTTTCACCCCATGGTTGGACTACATAAACCAAAATTCTAGTGGAGTGTGATGTGTATATTGCCACTCTTGAATATGTGAAGCATTTACTGTACACTTTACTTTTAAATGGTCTAATTATTTAATCCTATAATTTCAAGTTCTTTTTTGGGATTTTGAGGTTAGGTTGTCACTAAGGCATCCAATGTCTATCCAAAAGATACCGACGCCCCTTCATGTGGCACGGATGATATGACAAAGCTTTCTTATCTTCACGAACCAGGAGTTCTCTATAACCTGAGATGTAGATATGATAATGATGAAATTTATGTAAGTGTTCTCTTTTAGTATGTAATATATCTCGTTTACGGAGTAGTAATGATGTATACTGTGGCTTTTACTTTCTTCAACATATTCGTTCTCCTTCAGTTGGTTTGATTTAGTAGAAAAAAATGTTTCCTTTTTGGTTTATCTTTGATATGTTGCTGTTTGTTTTTGTCAAGATCTCAAATGGCCCGTGTGCTGCATTTATGTATCTAATCATTCCTTCAGACTTACACAGGAAACATACTGATTGCTGTGAATCCTTTTAAAAGATTACCTGAATTGTATGGCAAATGTGTCATGGAAAAGTATAGAGGAACTGCGCTTGGGGAGTTGAGTCCTCATCCTTTTGCTATTGCTGATGCTGCTTACAGGCAAGCTGTGATGCAAGTTTGTATGTGTCTACTCATGTGCAATTATTTCCATGCTTTCTATAAAGCTGTACTTATGGATGCAGACAGATGATTAATGACGGGATCAGCCAGTCAATTTTGGTTAGTGGAGAAAGTGGAGCTGGCAAGACAGAAAGCACAAAGATGCTAATGAATTATCTTGCATATATGGGGGGGAGAGCAGCAGATGAGGGACGGAGCGTGGAGCAACAAGTCCTTGAGGTATGCATTGCCCTCTGTTAATATTTAATTTTGATTATTATGCTATAACGTAACGTTCTGCTTTCAAGAATCCTAATATGGTCTAAGATGAGGATTTTCTTTATTTTCCAGTCAAATCCGGTTCTTGAAGCATTTGGCAATGCAAAAACAGTGAGAAACAACAATTCAAGGTGAACACAAGTTACATTTAAAATGCCTTATATTGTGTGTGTGTGTGTGTGTGGGTGTATTTTACAGAGAAAACCACCAAACTCGGTGGGGTAAGGTCTAGGAAACCCTTACCAAGTTTATTACGGAGAGAGATATGTTACACGTTTGGGGAGGACTAGACCAATGCCCCAAAGGTAGAAAGAAAAAAACAAATACATGGCAAATTAAGAACAAAACTAAAAACAAAGAATCACTGCTCTTCTTCAGCTGTGTGTGTGTTTATATATATATATATATATATATATATACATACATACATACATACATACATACATACATACATACAAATACATACATACATACATACATACATATATATATACATATACATACATACATATATATATATATATATATATATATATATATATATATATATATATATATATATATAGACTATTGTTGTACGGTGTGTAGTTGAGAATAATGACATTTTTAAGGAGGCAACATTGTCATAACAACACTGCGAGAGATTGTGATGCTGACTCGGCTGGTTGTCTGATAGATATATGATCCATGTCCGGGTATTGTATCTTGATTGGTTCATAGTTTGTTAGGCATCGCCTAGGCGATAAGGCGCTGTCACTAGGACGCCTTGACTGCTCGCCTCGCCTAGAAAACCTTAAGGCGATAAGGCGCTCGCCTAGGCGTCGCTTTTCCTCGCCTTTACTTGCCTTACCTCGCCTTGATGCCTTGGGCCCCTTTAATAGTTTGAAAAAACCCATTTTTTAGTGCAGCCCATTTTCTTTTAGTGTAGCCTAATAGACTTAAACTTATCTTCTCTCTTGGTCTTCTCTTTCTCGACCAAGCTTCTTTAAAATGTATAAGACATATATATGTATGTATGTGTAAGTGTGTATGTAGGTATGTATCATGTATGTATGTATGTCTCCTAGTTGTCGCCTAGGCATGCGCCTAGTCGCCTAGGCGATATGAAGGTACATTGGCGCCTCGCCTCGCCTCGCCGCCTTACAAACTATGGATTGGTGTGAACTTAATCTCTTTGAAAAGAAAGAAACAAGATGTGGTTGCAAGATCTAGTAAAAAAGCATTTTACCGAGCAATACCGATCAATGTCTCTAGCTGCATTTAAGATCTTGTGGCTGAAACACCATCTCCAAGTATTAAGGTACAGGAGCAAGGAACCAGTTCAGTTGACATGTGGCTATCAAAAGGCAATACACATTGCATGAAAGCCAGTGTTTCGTGAGGACCAGACTCATTGCAAGATTTGCAGCTGAAGCATATAATTCATAAAAACAATAAACATTCTTACATCCCGTCAAAGTCATTTAGAGGTCCCAGACGAAAATACATTTGTAACAAGCTTGAAGCATATAATTCGTAATATTGCCGTAACATGTGTAGTTGTGGAAGTTGAAACATGACTTCACTCAAAGATATCATCTTTGTGATGTCATTAGAAGAAAACTTAGACCTAGAACATGACTTGTCTCCTCTATAATTGCTATAAAATATGTGTGATCCTTCTTTGTTGAAAAAGTAAAACTCTATTTTTTTCACAAACTTACTATGACCTGTATTCTTGTTCTTTGAACTGATCAATGTCTGCTTCTCAATCATGTACTTGTGGCAGTCGTTTTGGTAAGTTTGTTGAGATTCAGTTTGATAAAAGGGGAAGAATCTCAGGTGCTGCTATCAGAACATATCTTTTGGAAAGATCTCGTGTGTGCCAGGTGTCTGACCCTGAAAGAAACTATCATTGTTTCTATATGCTTTGTGCGGCACCACCAGAGGTAATTTCTTTATCTTGAAAATTTATGAAGATCTGCATTTGGATTAGGGA